GAGAGTGACAACTATTGTTACTTGGCTAAGTGCCACAGGCTCACCTCCTGAAAGCTTCCCCGTTTAACTTCATAAATGGATTACCCATTCCCAGCGGCTTGTGAGAGGGGTCGGGGAGGTGAAAAGAACATCTCTAGGTGGTCACACGGACTGGGGCTCAGATCCTTCACATGACCCTGATTAAATAAAATTCTCAGGTTGCATTTAAATACTTGAACTCATTTGCATGACAGCAAGTTATTTAAACTCTTGGCTTCAGCTTTCCTCATCTGCAAAAGCAGGAAGAACATGACTTCCCAGGAAAAGGTGAGAATGAATGAAATCTTGAGTGAGAACCTGTCCCCCGTCCTGGACCAGCCTCGCCTCCTGGCTGCTTTTCCCTCCCTTGGGTTGGTTCATGTGTCACCGTCACTAGTTGACATGACCGCGGGTATCCCTGAGTGGACCTTGGGTGGGGGGACGAGAGAGAGCGGTGGGGGGAGTGGGCAGCTCATTCTGCCTGGGCCCGAAGTTCAAAGGGTCCTCGCATTTTACCTGCTCTTCAGTGGAAAGTTTTGTTGAGGAGTTTAGGGGAAAGCTTCATAGAAAATGGTGCTTTAGATCCCACTGCCCTCCCCCTAGTGGTGGGACCTGAGGGCTGAACGACTCTGAGGGGAGGGACTCCCTGCACTGGGAAGCTGCTGGAGCCCCCGTTTAATCTGCAAGTAGATGCCAAGCAGGAGAACCAAGATGTGCAAGGAAATCAACAACAGTGCAACGTGCTGTTTCCTAATGCTCTACACTGAAAAAAAAATTGCTAAAGGGCTTGAATATAAGAGGTTTCTTTTCTTTTTTTCCTTTTTTAAAAATTTGGAATCACCCTAACTGTCCATTGATGGATGAGTGGATAAAGACAATGTGGTATATTTTGCATCCATTCACCAACCTCCCCCTACCCCACAACCCCTACCTCTCCCAGCCCCTGGTAACCACTGTTTTACTCTATACTTCTGCAGATAGATAGAAGGAATAAATCCTAGGGTTCTACAGCACTGTGGGGTGACTGTAGTTAATAACAATTTATTGTATAACTTCAAATAGCTAGAAGAGAGGATTTTGAATGTTCCCAACACAAAGAAATGGCAAATGTTTGAGGTGACTGATGTGCTAATTACCCTGATTGATCATTACACATTGTATACATGTATCCAAATATCACACTGGACCCATAAATATGTACAAACATTATGCTAATTAAAAATAATAATAAAGGAAAGGTGGTATGTGTGTATATATATATAATACATACACACACACATATACACATACACACACATATACATACACACAACAGAACAGTATTCAGTCTTTATAAAGAAGGAAATCCTGCCATTTGCAACAACATAAATAAACCTGGAGGACATTACGCGAAGTGAAATAAGCCAGACCCAGAAAGACTAATACGGCACGATCTCACTTATATGAGGCATCTAAAAAAAGGTGAACTCACAGAAGCAGAGAGTAGAATGGTGGTTACCAGGGGCTGGAGGTGGGTGAGTGATGGGGAAATGTTGGTCAAAGGGTACAAAGGCTCAGTTGTACATGATGAATAAGTTGTGGACACCTGATGTACTGCACGGTGACAACAGTTAATGAAACTTTATTGTATACTTGAAATTTGCTAAGAGGGTAGATCTTAAATGTTCTCACCACAAAAAAAAATTAAGAAGTGGTAACTGGTGAGGTGATGGTTATGTTAATTAGCTTGATAGTGGTAATCGTCTCATAATGTGTATGTATATCAAAATACAGTGTACCCCTTACATGTACGCAATTTTTATTTGTCAGTTATACCTCAATAAAGCTAGAAAAAAATAATAAAAGTTTTTTTAAAAAATATTTCTCCTGGGCCGGCCCGGTGGCGCAATGCTATAGTGCACCGCTTGGGAGCGCGGCGGCGCTCCTGCCGAGGG